AGCCAATTCCACATTATATACATTACCATCAATATCAATTATTATTCAGCTATATCTATTACAAAATAAAGTAATCAGATTTAGCTAATTTTAAATTGTATTCTTCCATCTGTCAGCCTGTGTCCCTCCAATAGCAAAATTTTCTCAAACCAATTGCCATTTGTTGGATAAATTTACCAAATGTTTTTATAAGCAAGTCCAGACAAAAATATCTTCGCACCTTTTGGCTCTGAATGTCAGTGATGAAATAATAATGTTGTCCCGGGCTTGTAAAACTTTTCAAATTGACTTTAATTCTCCAGGGTGGAGTTTCCATTTGTCCTGCACTCTGTCTCTTTAAATGAATCTTCTGGTGGCTACATTTCTTGACCATCACTGGGCTTAACTTCTCTAAGGAGTTGACCCTGTTTCTTTCTGCATCCTGGATCTCACAAGGAACTATGAAACAAACAAACAAAAACCCAAACCCCACCCTACTTTCTTCTCCTTTTGCTTGCTCTTATCTCACACCAAAAAGGTTAGCTTTCACTGAAATCTGGTGTAGAGGAGTACTGTGAAGGCTTGAAGAAGATATTCAACTGTTGGAGAACATCAACCTAACCCCGGAAGGAAGGAGAAAGAAACTCAAGGCTGCCCTATCTTGATGCTCTTTGGTATGAGTACGAGGAGAAAGAATCAAGATTGTTTTGAAATAAGACCTAGTCAGGTTTGAAGAATGGAAAATAGGCAATTTAGAGCCCTTCTTTCCTCAATGAATAAGAGTTGGGAGGGACCTTGGTGATCTTCTAGTCCAACCGTCTGCTGAAACAGGAGACCCTATACCCATTTCAGACAAATGGCTGTCCAGCCTCTTAAAAACCTCCAGATGGGCAATCACAACCTCTGGAGGTTCCACTGGTTAATTGTTCTCACTGATAGGGAATTTCTCCTTAGTTCTAAGTTGCTTTTCTCCTTCATAAGTTTTCATCCATTGTTTCTTGTTCTGCCTTCTGGTGCTTTGGAGAAGAGTTTGACCCCCTCTTTTTTGTGGCAGCCTCTTTGAGATTGGAAAAAAACCCAAGAATAGAAATCTCCCAACTTCCTGTTTTTAAGAACGTGTATATTTTCCCCTTGAGCTAATAGTTGACTTACCATTCTGGTCTAGTAACCTCTAAGTCAATAACTGTGCCAGGTGGTGGATTCTGTAGTTTTCCTTCAATTTCGGCAAAGAATCTGCTGTTCACACGCTTCTTCACCACGATCACTGTGAGTTTGGGGCTTCAGAAGATTGCATAGGGTGGATTAGTTTGCTTAAAGTACTCAACATTTCTCAAGAGACAGAGAGAAATTAAACGTGACTTCCCTCCTTTTAACCAATCATCCTCTGCTGTTCTCAGAAAATTAAAATGTGCACCTGTTCAAAGGCAACCTGTGTATAAAATTGCCCTTGCAAACAAGCCAAAAGTGATATACAGACTCACAAATACACTAAATTGGTGTCAGCAACTTTTGTAGCCAAGGATTTATATGCAGATTATTTTTTAAAATGTGATCTCTTTAGTATTTTTTTAAAATTATTATTGCTACTTCTTTGGCTGTCCTTAAAAGTAAAGGTTCTCCTCGCACATACGTGGTAGTTGTTTCCGACTCTAGGAAGCAGTGCTTATCTCCGTTTTAAAGCTGAAGAGAAGCACTGTCCGAAGACATCTCCGTGATCATGTGGCCGGTATGACTAAATGCCGAAGGCGCACGTAACACTGTTACCTTCCCACCAAAAGTGGTCCCTATTTTTCTACTTGCATTTTCTACGTGCTTTCGAACTGCTAGGATGGCAGAAGCTGGGACAAGTAATGGGAGCTCACTCTTGTTACACAGCGCTAGGAATTCGAACCACTAAACTGCCGATCTTTCTGATTAACAAGCTCAGCGTCTTAGCCACTGTGTCCCCCTAATGTTTGGCTGTCCTTAATGTTGCCCAAAGTCATTTCTAGGTGAGCAACTCAGTAAATTGAATAAAGGTAAGACTTGAGACGGCTGCTTCATTCACAGAACCTGTGATACTATACAATAATACAATAGCAGAGTTGGAAGGGACCTTTGAGGTCTTCTAGTCCAACCCCCTGCCTAGACAGGAAACCTTATACCACTTCAGACAAACGGCTATCCAACATCTTCTTAAAGACTTCTAGTGTTGGAGCATTCACAACTTCTGGAGGCAAGCTGTTCCACTGATTAACTGTTCTGTCAGGAAATTTCTCCACAGTTTTAAGTTGCTTCTCTCCTTGATTAGTTTCCACCCATTGCTTCTTGTTCTACCCTCAGGTGCCTTGGAGAATAGTTTGTCTGCCTCTTCTTTGGGACAGCCCGTGAAGACTGCTATCATGTCTCCCTTGGTCCTTCTCTTCACTAGACTAGCCATGCCCGGTTCCTGCAACCGCTCTTCATATGTTTTATAGTCTCCAGCCCCCTAATCATCTTTGTTGCTCTCTGCACTCTGTTTTACATCGTGGTGACCAAAACTGGATGCCGTATTCCAAGTGTGGCCTTACCAAGGCATTATAAAGTGGTGTTAACTCTTCAGGTGATCTTGATTCTATCTCTGTTTATGCAGAGAACTGTGTTGGCTTTTTTGACAGCTGCTGCACACAGCTGGCTCCTATTTAAGTGGTTGTCCACTAGGACTCC